ATCATGGGTTCAATCCCAAGCTCCTTCACATTTTAGAATTATACTTTAAATCGGCCTTCTTTCTTAATATGATGTAAAGTGTAACGAAATTCGGTTCGAGGGCCGGGTAGGTAAAAGAAGTGATATTTGAGTTTAAGGAAAGACGTATTGATCGGAAATCCATATCAAACTTCTCAATCTCAGTTGTTGTCGTCGTCGGTGATGTGATCGCCGGGATAACAACAAGTTGACCGGAAACTTGATGGTAATTGTTTTGTGAATTAAGTAGCTCGGTGGCCTTTTGGCGACCAATTTTGCTTACTGAGCAGAAGATCGTGGGTTCAATCCCACGCTCCTTCACGCTATTGAATCGTTAGGACATCAATCCAGCATATCGTTTACAACCACGAATCCTGCTGCAATCCCAACCCTTTTATCCAACATCCCAATGATTTCTCGTGGAAGTGTTCTCGGCTTTCATTAAGGCGAGTATTACGTCAACATATTCCTACCCATACCCTTTCTTGACCAGCATTCAGACGTGATCGGCGCTGGTATTGCCAAGTTTTAGATCACCAGTTTGTACACATTGAGGATGAATGCTAGTCCCAAGCAACGTCTATTGGTTCTCTGTGTAATTACGGCTGATCTGGCAGTAACGGAAGTGCATCTACGGGCGGTCATTCATGCTCATGCTAATTTCAAAAACATTTAAGAAATTCAATTCCGTTTATGTGAATAATGGGTTATTTCAGCTTTTTTAAGGTTGCCCTGGCGTTTTAGGGCTGTTCAGTCATGTTTGATTTCAGAACCATTTGAAGGACCGCCCTAATAAACAAATACCATAAACGAACTGTATCCCGGATGGGTAAACTATCCGACAAATGGTTTGGATGATACCCCAAACACGTCGTTAAGCTCTCTTTTATGTTTTTTTTTTATTATTAGGGCGTTCAATCTATTCTGGCGCTTTCAAGACCATTAATGGCATTTTGAAGTGTAGACCATTATGACAATTTTTTTTAAGAGTGTTTTGAAGTGTAATTTTGGATTAGTGTTTTTCTCGATTTAGGGCTTTTTGCGATTTTAGCCTTGTTTGGCGTTTAGCGGATCATTTTTTGAATTTGTTGAGACATTTTTAGCGTTTTCTGGCCATTTTGAAATTTAATGTCATTTTGGGGAGTCTTGACCATTGACCATCTTTGGCGTGTTTTGGCCCATTATGTTTGTGCCATTGTTGTCGCCGTTTATTAGGGTTTTTAGGGTCATGTTGACACTTTAAGACTATTTTTGGCATTATAAGGTAATTTTTGAATGTTTAAGCTTTTATGGAAAGTGTGGACATTTTTATTGACATAGTTGGGCATTTTTTGGCGTAAATTGGTACGTACTAAAAGACCTGTAATTTGTGATTCAATAAGTTTAAAAGGCCCATTAATGGTTCCTTAATAGTACTTTTATTAAAACTTCAAAGTTACAGCATTAGATGATTACATTTCTCCAGTTCGAACGAAATCTCGAACCTTCCTCTTGATGGAGCCCATCAGCGCCCGCACAGTGGAAACGGACACGGAATCCGCGCATTTCTTCCAATTTACCCGCATTTGCTGGATGTTTTTGACTGCCCCACCGCTCCGTCGAAGTCGCTGCTTTGAAATTACCCAGTATTTTTCGACTGATCGAAATTCCGGGCAATTCGGAGGATTCATTAGCTTGGGGACAAAATCGATCTTGTTGGCAGCATACCACTCCAAAACCACCTTGGAGTAGTGGCACCAGGCCAAATCGGGCCAAAACATGACACGCTTTTTCAGGCATTCTTCGATGTAAACTTGGGATGTCATCGTCGAGGATGTGACGAATGGTTCCGTTTTCAGGCCACAACTGCAAATCGCTTGCCAAATCGTTGGCAAACACGAACTTGAATCTTCCCGGCACATCCCCTCGTGCAGTCGCGATGTAAAACTTTTGACCGGGAAGCTGCTTAAAATCGAGTTTGACGTATATTTCGTCATCGATCAAAGTGCAGCTCTTGTGTTTCGTCAAAACACGGTCGTAGAAGAGCCTTGCACGCTTTTTGGCCACGGAATTCTGTTTCATGTGCCGGTTCGGATGTTTACTAGATTTGTACGACTTGTATCCTTCCCTGGCAAGGATGTTCCGTACCGTTTGAAAGTTGGCGTTGTACCTTCTGGCCACATCTCGTATCGAAAGACTGGGGTTATCTTTAACGCACCTCAACACTTTGCTGCGCAACTGACGATCCCTGGTTCCAGTTTTTTCGTAGGTCCACTGATTCCTTTCCACACTCAGGGTTTCCTTGTAGGTTTTGAGCACTCGACAAACTGTTGTTTTCGGCATCTTCAGCACTTTAGCCAGCTTGGAACCGGATCCTTTCGAATTTTCCAGTTGTTTGTGCACAATATTTTTTCTTCTCTCGAGTTCCATTTGACGTTATTTCTGAACGCGATCGACTAATTTGATCAAACTTGCACCAGTTGTTCTCTATAGAAGTGTAAACAAACCACTGTCAAAGATTTTCGATTTCCAACACTAGAGGCGTGCTAGCGGCGCACGAGGGGCGTACCCATTTACTTTTAGGCAGCCTTTATTTTGGACTATTATAACATTTTTGACGTTTTTAGGCCAGAACAGCACTGAAACGGAAGATGATCGTGTGCAATAGATACGTTGTCGAATGAAGAGGCGCTTGCCTTGTTTAGTTTGCAAGTAGAGGAGACTTCCTGAACGTGTAATATAACATTATCATTTTAACAATATAACCATTGATCCTGATGTCTCATGGAATTTGAATTGTCGGATTTTGGCCACTTTCTGGGTCGGCACATGACCAGGTGCAGATTTTGGCCACATCCACAATGTTACCCGGAACACAGAACCAAAACATATGTGGAGACCCATCGAATGCACAAAAGTCGATTTTTACAGTAATTAACCCCCTTCAACAATTGGCGATCGCAGTAGACCGCGCTTGAAAGCTGACGTGTTTTTCTTTTGCTGCGTATTTTTCGTCAGCGAATTAAACATGTTTTGCTTTAAATTAGTTAATTTGTGTGCTGAAATTTAGATTCAAGTGTTGATGAAGTTATCATTTAGTGATATATCGTGTTTTGCCTGTGTTTGTCTTGAGGTACTCAGTTGACCTTAAATCTTCGACGCAGCATCAGTTTCATTGTTCGGTGTCGGTTTTTATTACCTCCCGGGAGCACGGTTCTCCAAGTTTCGACGTGTAGTTATGTTCTATCCAGCTTTCCATGCTCGGTAATGGCGGCCTGTTTGTATGAATAAATGTATCCTTCACTGTGCTTTTTGACACTATCTGGATGTTCGAATTTCAACCCCTTCCCTTTCCCTCTCGCAGGAACAGAAGAAAATGGAACAACATACGCCCTCCAGTTAGTGTCAAAAAGCACAGTGAAGGATACATTTATTCATACAAACAGGCCGCCATTACCGAGCATGGAAAACTGGATTGAGAGATTCGTCACCATGGGCGAGGTTGAACCTGGTCCGGTTGGTGAATTAGTCCGAGAACGTGCTGATAACGCGTCCGTCGCGAGTTTTGGTGGTAATTCGGTGGCTGACGTTGTCGTTAATCAGCAAGTTTTCCGCTTGCAAAAGTGCTCGGCTGCTGGTCTCTCGCCGGTGTCGGAGATTGCGAGCAACATGAAAGATGCCTCACTGGATACGCCCAAGACTGGACGGGTGGTAGCCGGTGGCTTCGAAAGGTTCCTTTGGAAGGCACTAGACGTGAACCTCCTCCTATATGACCATGACCATGCAAGACAATTTGTGTTCGTTGAAGTAACTATTAAGACAAAGATGAATCACGAAATGAGATGCAAACGGAATCCGTGAGTTGGAGGATCAAATTAACATGGTGAGATCAGTCCAAATACTTTTTTTATATTAATAAAAAAAAACATAAACCAAATACGTGCCAGGATTCAAAAGAACATTTTAAAACTGGAAGTGTGTGTGTAATACTAATATCCAATTGATAGAGGTAATACATACATGCGGAGCTTGTTGTAAGTGAAAGTAACCTCGGAATGGGCGTGACTCTCCAGACATTCTGAAATGGGTTGCTGGATCTGCAATAGAGCTATCACCGTCTAACTCCCGGACTAAAGCTGTTTACAATTACCATAAATGCGACATTGTAGAGAGAGTTCTTCCATAATAACACTGCCGGCCAGTAGGGGTTAGAGGGAATACACACACACGACAACGCACACAGAACAGCACTGAAACGGAAGATAAAGCTGTTTCAAGTAGCTGTGCCAGGACGCTGATGTCAACCCCTAGGGAGACGCATATCAAGTCACGATGGCGAAGACCAGAGGTCCGACGACGCCCACTGAAATGTGTCCAGACAAGCTGAGGGTCATCGTTGAGGAGCTCTTCCCGGAGCACGACCCAACGACCTGGCCACCTACATCGTACAACGAGGAGGAGAGAGACAACGTTGACTAGCGTCCAACGAGGAACTCGTAGTAGTGGCGAAGAGAGTGAAGGTGGAGAAAGCTTCCGGCCCAGATGGAATCCCCAACGCTGTCGTTGAAAACGGAGATCCAGGCATTCCCGGACATGTTCAAGATGATGCTGCAGAAATGCCTGGATGAAGGTCACTTCCCAGGCAGATGGAAGGTTCAGAATGCCAAAGCCAGGAAAAGCACCGGGGGATCGCGCATCCAGAGAGCCAAGAAGACGAAATCCATATTGCGCTGTTATAACGATAGACGTAAAAAAACGCATTCAATAGTACCAGCTGTACTCCGAGTGCTTGCAGGTCCTCCTCGAGCATAGTCCATGTTGTCAAAGAAGCACATGGTTACTTGTGTACGGTTGAACTAATAATGACTTTATTCAGGTTTCAAGGTATACAGAACAAGGTAAACTAATCAATGTGAATGCTTGTTAGGTGTGGTGCATACAGAAGGTATGATAATGGAAACATATTCTGTAACATCCACTTTTCTTTACATTTAAACAATGAATCAAAACATATTATAATCCTGGAACTTCTTAGGCATTTGGACGAACCGTCTGGGGCGAGTGGATTCGGGAATGGTTGGTGAAGCAGTCACTGCAGCAGGATTGCGACCGACAGACGATGAAACTTCCTGTAGATCTACATTCGGTTCCGCTTTAACTGGTACTGCATCCAGCGAATCCTGTCTTTGCGCAAACCTTGTCTTGATCATTGTATTGTCCCTACGATACTCAAGATCACCGATAGCTACGACTGTTGTCCTATCCGTAACTGGGTTGATTACGGTTCCGTTTTTCCATTCCGTATCAGTAGGCTTCATTTTAACAAACACAGGTTGTCCGATCTCCAACTCGGGAAGCGAGCGAGCCTTTCGATCATAGTAGGCTTTGGCTTGCTGACGTTGGAGAGTAATCTTCTCCCTCACGTTCTCCTCTATTTTCGGAAGATATTTCCCTTGATACATCGGAACTCCGAAGCGTGTTCGACGATTAAACAGGCGCTGAACTGGCGAACTTCCAGTTTTGTTCGGCTTATTTCGCCACTGTAGTAGAAGTTCCCAGAAATCCTGGTTGGATTCTCGAGCTTTCTTCATGAGTGATTTGGTTATTTTGACGGCAGATTCAGCCTTGCCATTTCCTTGCTGGTGGTATGGTGCTGAAACACTGTGTTTTACTCCCCAATACTGGCAGAACATGTTGAACTCTTCACTCATAAACTGTGGTCCTCCATCACTGCTGACTTCCTGTGGTTTTCCGAACCTTGCGAAGTTGCGCTTACAGACTTTTATTACTGCTGCTGATGTTTGCGTTGTGAGTTCATCTACGTCAAAATAATCGGAAAAGTGATCAACTGTAACAAGGTACACTGTTTTGCGATTTCCAATCTCGCACTCACATATGTCCATGGAAACTTTCTGATACAGGTAAGTCGGAATCTGATGACTTTGCATTGGTTGAACTCGCTGATTTGAAGAGAACTTTGCGCAAACATCACAGTGTTGGATACGCTGCCTTATCTGGTCGGAGAGTCCTGGCCAAAACACCGTGTCACGGGCTAGCTTGGTTGTTGCTTCGATTCCGGAGTGCGATTGATGCAGTCTCTCCAGCATCTGTCCTCTCAAACACCGTGGGATTAGAATTCGATCATTTCGTAGAACGAGACCATTGTGAGTGCTGAGCTCGTGCTTGTACTTCCAGTAGATTTGGCCAGCCATCAATAATGCAACGGATGACAGATTGGATATCCGGGTGCTCTCGAGATCTGGCTCGAATTTCGTCTACTCGAGCGTCTGAAATGGGAAGGTAGTCCAATGCACAAATAGTTTCAATATCGGCCATGAAAATGTCGTAGATTTCACGACTAGTAGAATCGTTGTCAAACTTTGCTGCTCTAGATAACATATCAGCGATTACTACTTGTTTACCTGGTGTGAAGTTCAGAGTGATTTGATAGCGTTGTAATCCTAGCAAAATGCGTTGAATTCTCAATGGTGCCTCAATCAAAGGCTTCTGGAAAATCTTGATCAACGGTTGATGATCCGTTTGAACAGTCACTGTTCGTCCAAGGATGTACATTTCAAACTTCCGACAGGCAAATAGAATGGCCAACGTTTCTTTTTCGATTTGTGCATAGCGACGTTCAGTAGCACTGAGGGTCTTTGACGCGTAGACGACTGGCTGCCCCTCTTGTAGAAAAAGAGCGCCTAGTCCTACGCTGCTACTGTCGCATTGGATAATCGTGCTCTTGGATGCATCGAAGTATTGCAGTACTGGTGTTGAGGTTATCATCTGTTTCAGTTGATCAAAGGCTTCATCCTGTTCATGGCACCAATTCCAAGGCTGGTCGTGATTTGTCAATCTGCGCAACGGTTCCGCTACTGTGGACAGGCTTGGAAGATAGTGTGATAAGTATGTTACCATACCCAAAAACCTTTGAACGGCAGGAATATCTTCTGGTTTCGGCATATCCAATATGTTGCTCACTTTTTCTGGATCTGGTTTCACGCCTCTCGCTGTAAGTATGTATGTGCCCAAAGTACTTGACGCTATCCTGACACAGCTTGATTTTGTCCGGATTCAATTTCATGTTTTTTTCTTTCATTCTTTCCAGAAATGCTCGCAGATTTTTATTATGGTCGATCAATGCTTCGGTAACAGTATTACCACATCCAAAAATCATGAAGTCATCCATCAATGCTCGTACATTTTTCAATCCCTGTATCGCTTCGTGTGCTTTCAGTTGGAACACCTCCGGTGCCGTGGAAATGCCCATTGGCATTCGGAGCCATCGGTACCTACCAAAGGGAGTCCAACACGTAGTAAGCTTCGAGCTTTCTTCATCAAGCTCCACCTGCCAAAAACCAGACTTGGCATCCACAGTCGTAAAAACCTTAGCGTTGGCAAGCTCTGGCAGTAGCTCATCTAGTGTAGGCATCTGGTAGTGTGATCTTTCCAGTGCCTTGTTCAACATTATCGGGTCAATGCAAACTCTCAATTTGTTGTTTCTTTTAACGAGTACTAGGTTACTTACCCAGTCGGAGTGTCGTTTTTCTTCAATGATCACTCATTGGTGTTCCAAACTTGTCAACTCTTGACGAAGCTCATCTCTCAGCGTTACAGCGACTCTACGCGGATGCTGTACTACTGGTTTAACGCTCCTGTCCACATCCAGATGGACGCACCCCTCCAATTTTCCAAGTCCAGAGAAAACTTCAGAATACTGACCCAGGATTTGTTTTGCTACCGATTTCTGGTCCTCAGTGACGGAAAAACATAACTGAATCGATTTTAGTCGAAGACAAGTGTTGACTGACAACAATGGAAACATGGAAAACGGCTTTATATCGGGTTCCGTTGTGAACGCAATCTATCTCAGTGCGGCCCAAAGATCGGAACTGGCGTCCTCCAAACACCTTCAAGACTGCGCTGTGGCTGTCCAGCGACAGCTGACTAGTTCCGAGAATTGCTTTCGCATTGGTTCTTCCGATTACGTTGCAGGAAGCTCCGGAATCTAGGATGCACGATACCCTACGTTGGTGCTTTTTTACATCCAAAAACGTTATCGTCGCCTTCAGCAAACCGTCGTTCTCCTTACGTAGACTGTACAGGTATTGACACATGTTAATAGATTCCTGGTCATCATCCCGCTGCTCACCAGTTGCATTTTCTTCATCCGGCTTAACGGTGTTGACTTTGTTAGTTGGCTTCCTCGAAGAACTGGGCAAACCCAATGGCCGATTTTGCTGCTTCTTCTATTTGCACGCCACCTCGAAGTGGTTTTTCAGACCACAAAAATGGCATGTTGCTCCCCTGGCTGGACATTCCAACAAATTCTTGTGGTACGCTCGACCGCAAAAGCCGCACTGCTTGTTGCTTCGATTTCCTCCAACAATTTTGTTGACGTTATGTTGCTAAGTTTCAAGCCACCGGTTGCGCTCCATTTCGGCTCGAGTGGCTTCCTCCGTTCGACATAGCTCGATAACTTTCGCTGAAGTTAAGTCTTCCGTTTCGATGAATTTTTTCTTCAGGTGCACATTTTCAATGCCGGTAATAATTTTATCCCGGAGCATCTCATCTTCCAAAGCACCAAGGTTACACTCTTTCACCAACGTAATTTCATCAGACTTTCGGCTTCGTTGCTGTCGTCTCCGGGCTCTTGCCGGCATTGGTAAAACTCGTAGCGAGCTAGTTTTATATTTTTCTGCGGTATCATGTACGTTGATAGCGATTGCATACAGGAAGTGACCGTGTCCTTTTCATCGTCGCGAAGGGGCCACAGATTAAAGATTCGTCTTGCCTCTTTGCCCAGCGCAGATTTGAAAGTTGCCACTTTCACTCTTTCATCCAGCTGTTCCACTCCTGATGTACGTTTCGAAAGCATCCTTCCATGGTTCCACGTTCTCCCGGAGGTTGCCGTCCAGTTTTAGTGGCTCCGGGAAGGGAATGCTGCTGTTTATAACTGGTGCCACTGGCGGCTGCTCCTGCGGTTGTGCCATTCTTGGTTTCGGAAACGATTATTTCCCCAACGTTTTTTCGCGTATTTACGATGAACGCTCGACTCCCGGACGCTTAAACGGATACTCCGTGACAAATCCGGAACGTCCCGCAGAAATTGAATTCGGCTTACGGAACTACGCAGTAATATTCAATGCTTCTTTTGTTATTTTTAACTCTGACACCATGTCAAAGAAGCACATGGTTACTTGTGTACGGTTGAACTAATAATGACTTTATTCAGGTTTCAAGGTATACAGAACAAGGTAAACTAATCAATGTGAATGCTTGTTAGGTGTGGTGCATACAGAAGGTATGATAATGGAAACATATTCTGTAACACATGTCTCGTGTCCATAGAGGACCACCGGTCTTATTAGCGTTCTGTACATGATGCATTTGGTGCGGGGGTAAATCTTTTTTGACCGTAGTTTCTTCTGGAGTCTGTAGTAGGCACGACTTCCACTGATGATGTGCCTTCGTATTTCACGACTCACATTGTTGTCAGCCGTCAGTAAGGATCCAAGGTAAACGAAAACCTCCACTACCTCGAAAGTATCCCCGTCTATCGTGACATTACTTCCTAGACGAATCCTGTCAGGTTCGGTTCCGCCTACTAGCATGTACTTTGTTTTTGACGCACTCACCACCAGTCCGACCTTTGCTGCTTCGTGTTTCAGGCGGGTGTATAGTTCTGCCACCGTTCCAAATGTTCTTGCGATGATGTCCATGTCGTCCACAAAGCACACAAATTGACCGGATTTCGTGAATATCGTACCCCGGCTGTTGAGCCCGGCTCGTCGCATTACACCTTCTAGAGCGATGTTAAAGAGTAGGCATGAGAGTCCGTCACCTTGTCGCAGTCCCCGGCGAGATTCGAATGAACTGGATAGTTCACCCGAAAACCTTACGCAGTTTTGCACACCGTCCATCGTTGCTTTGATCAGTCTGATCAGCTTCCCAGGAAAGCCATTTTCGTCCATGATTTTCCATAGCTCTGTGCGGTCGAGACTGTCGTATGCCGCCTTTGTGCAGGATACTGATGCATTATTTCCAGAGCCGGGTTCTGATCTACGAGATGCAGATGGAACAGGGATCGATTAGAATCACGGCGGAAGTTCCACAAGGCTCCATCCTTGGTCCAACGCTCTGGAATGGGATGTATAACGCTGCCGTAAGGAGTCGTGGCTTTGCGGACGACGTCGTTTGGGTCTGGGTTCTACATTTTTGAGGCTCAGAAATGAACTCGAGTTTTATTTCTTTCATGCAACGCTAGCTAGACTATCAGCACGAAACGAAAATGAAAAAGAAGCACCCTTAGAACGAAAGGCTGGCTGTGGATTTTCTCGTCGCAGTTGTGCTCACCCTTTTCAATGAAAGTATCGTCGATATTCTAGTGAAACAAAACCTGATCATGGCTTTCGATCCCTTTCACAGGCACTCTGTCACCGCTCTTTTAATTCGTTTAATATGCGTTACAGGGGATAGATAAAATGATCGGGACAGGCGAAAATTTGTCAAAATTCAAATAGCATTTACTTTTCGAAAAATAGACCAATTTTGATGCAATCGGATAGATTTGACGGGAAATTTATAGCAGTTTTAATCAATCATTTGAAAATTTGTAGAGATGTTCCGGATTTTTGGAGGGTAAGTCAAAAACTGACTTTTTTGATCACTTGTATTTTTTTCTAGTACGAAAATGTGTTTGAATTCATATTTTTTCCTGATACAAGAAGCTATTCTGAATTCAATGGTGGCTACAGATCCAACATCTATTGAGAAATAACCGAGATCTGGCCATTTCCTTAAAATCCGTTCCGGAATCACGTCAATATGGATACCAAGCTCTTCAAGATTTTGCAAGCAAATGCCAATGGTACCTTTTTCAGGTCCACAGCTGGCCCCGGTTTCCGTGGGGCAGGTTCTGGATGAAACTGCTCCAGAGTAATTGGAGCAAGCTGTGGACATGACAAATGCTATGCTTTGAACAATCTCGAAGAGGAAGAAGTGGAAATGTGGAATCGATAAGATTGGAAACTGAATGCAACGAGCGAAGTTGCAAATAGCCCACTAAAAAACGGAAGTGCTATTGGTCAGTAACTGCAAAGCGGTGAAGCGGGCAGAAATCACCGAAGGGAAGCTCGCCACAGCCTCGAAGCGCGTGCTGAAATACTTGGGAGTGATGACCGTAGACCGGCGAAACTTTGGCAGCCATGAG